GCTGGGCTTCAAAATAACTAAAAAGTGCATCCTACATTGGGACACAATAACTTATACGATAAGGCATTACTGGTAACAGAGTAATTCCTTTTCAGTTGTTTCAGTGTGATTAGCTTTCTTTATAATTTTAACTATTATTCTTTTCGTTCAATGATCTGGGATTATTTTTTTTTTCTCTGCCCATATTGTATTAATTCAATTCGTTTATGGTTACATCAACTGCTGCCTTGAGCATTTCTGCAGTAATATCGTCATAACATGTTGCTTTATCGTTCGTTTATTGTTTGCTAATGAATTGATTGCCTCCCTTCCATGTCATTGATCTTATATTTATAGGTAATATGGTCATTTTAGCCTCTTCGTCTGTCAAGCTGTCTTATATGCCATACTTTCTCTGTTTTTCTTTTAACTCGGTTGCATTGCGTCGGTTTTCATAATCATCATCGTCGACATCACATCATAGAAATTCCACTTTTGCCCCCAAGCATCGTCGTTGAGGAACAAACTGAGATCCTCTGCTCTATGGGTAGCACTAAACTAATATCGTCCGGTATTTGTAACCCGCCGGTTTGCCCGGCTCGCTAGCGTAGTTGGCTAAACCTTGTGGTCCGGGTTCACGCCGGGAAACCGTCCTCTTCTGGCTTTTACAGCGCTAATCGAATCATTCGTGTCCTTTAATCTCCTCCACACCACTTGAGCAGAAATAAATTCAGTATCTGTTTGCTTGGCCTGTCGCCGAATCATCTTTATCTGAACATTCCAGTATTAAAAACACACATGTTAAAACTCCACAGAGTCAGCGAATAATGTTTACTCTAACTTCTTGAGAGTTGTGGCCCCATCCTGGCTTTTGCCGGGGTCAATGAATATAGCCGGGCCATTACTATATAACGGCTCAAAGGGGTTTCCGGGACCTCTCTACTGGTGATACTCATCCGCATGGTGGCACTTTGTATCACCGGGTGTTTATCGCTTGTGTGATGTCCTTGTGGGGTACAACGAGAGAGAGAGAGAGAAAGAGAGAGAGAGAGAGAGAGAGAGAGAGAGAGAAAGAAAAGAGAGAGAGGAGAGAGAGAGAGAGAGAGAGAAAGAAAGAAAGAGAGAGAGAGAGAGCAGAGAGAGAGAGAGGAGAGAGAGAGAGAGAAGAGGAGAGAGAGGAGAGAGAGAGAGAGAGAGAGAGAACAGAAAGAGAGAGAGAGAGAGAGAGAGAGAGAGAGAGAGAGAGAGAGAGAGAGAAAGAGAGAGAGAGAGAGAGAGAGAAAGAAAGAGAGAGAGAGAGAGAGAGAGAGAGAGAGAGAGAGAAAGAGAGAGAGAAAGAAAGAGAGAGAGAGAGAGAGAGAGAGAGAGAGAGAGAGTTGTGATATTTGAGCTTTTTGACCGTAGCATTGAAACTTTTCAGGCCTTCATTGACAGGTTATACTTGCCGTTACAAATTGTAAGCCATGTGAATCTTCGAACAAACAAAATCATTGCACTAAAGCCAAATTAGAAATAATTAAAATTAAACTACACTGCCAAAGTAATACAAGACTAAATTCGCCAAAGATCATATTTCAGAGTTTTACGAAAGACAATGAAACAACCATTAAGGGTAGAAAGAGTGAGGATTCACACACTACATCGTCCTTTCTCCGCTAGTATTGCAGGTACGCCAGACTGATGCGACTGTTACGGGTGCCATAGTTATACCTGCTTTGGTCGTTGAACGGGGTATCTTCGATCTAACCTGCCGGTCTGTCACGCAGACTGAGATTTTCAAATCTCAGAATTATACGGTAAACATTTAGGTAGCAGCCCGCAGAGGACAAACCGATCGATCTATGGAACACACTAATCAGTACATCATACACAAGGATATTAGCCTAGCAGGGATGCAAGGGATATTTATAATGTGTGTATGTGTCTGCATGTGTGTGTGTGAGTTGTGTGTGGATATAAGAAATGCATTATGAAGACTAAAAATCAACATATAAGCATTTATATTGCTGACAATATAAATGCTTATTTCTTATTTTTAGTCTCCTATCTGTCTGTCTGTTGTCCCATCTGTCTGTCCTGTCTGTCTGTCTGAATACTCTGTTTGTCTGTCTATCTGTTTGTACTGCCCTGTCTGTCTGCTAACTGTTTACCTACCTATTTATCCATCTATCCGCCCATCTATCTAGGCCAGTGGTCAGCAAATCGCGACTCACGAGCCTAAGCGGCTCTTTAGCGACCTGAGTGTGGCTCGGCTCGTCGGCCACAAATCGGTTTTGAATCCGAAAAAAACATGGTTCTTGACATGTTCTTGAAAAGAAATGTGGCTCTCCAAAATATATGGTTTTTAACAGCTTCTTGAAAAGAAATTTGGCTCTCCAGAAAAAACATGGTTTCTGACAGGTTCTTGAAATGAAATTTGGCTCTCCAAAAAACATGGTTCTTGTCAGGTTCTTGAAAAGAAATGTAGCTCTCCAAAAAACATGGTTCTTGACAGGTTCTTGAAAAGACATTTAGCTCTCCAAAGAAAACATTGTTCTTGACAGCTTCTTAAAAAGAAATTTGGCTGTCTAAAAAAACATGGTTCTTGACAGGTTCTCGAAAAGAAATTTGGCTCTCCAAAAACATGGTTCTTGACAGGTTCTTGCAAAAAAATTTGGCTCTCCAAACACATAGTTCTTGACAGGTTCTCGAAAAGAAATGTGGCTCTCCAAAAAACATGGTTCTTGACAGGTTATTGCAAAGAAATTTAGCTCTCCAAAAAGCATGGTTCTTGACATGTTCTTAAAAAGAAATTTGGCTCTCCAAAAATATGGTTTATGGCAGGTTCTTGAAAAGACATTTGGCTCTCTAAAAAACAACATGGTTCCTGACAGTTTCTCGAAAAGAAATGTGGCTCTCCCAAAAAAAAACATGGTTCTTGACAGGTTGTTGAAATAAAATTTGACTCTCCAAAAAACGTGGTTCTTGACAGGTTCTTGAAAAGAAATTTGGCTCTCCAAAAAAAACATGGTTCTTGAAAGGTTCTTGACAAGAAATTTGGCTCTCAAAAAAAAAAACATGGCTTTTGACAGGTTCTTAAAAAAAGTTTGCCTCTCTAAAAAACATGGTTCTTGAAAAGAAATGTGGCTCTCCAAAAAACATGGTTCTTGACAGGTTCTTGCAAAGAAATTTGGCTCTCCAAAAAACACGGTTCTTGACAGGTTCCTGCAAAAACATTTGGCTCTCTAAAAAACATGGTTCTTGGCAGGTTCTTGAAAAGAAATTTGGCTCTCCAAAAATCAGGGTTCTTGACAGGTTCTTGCAAAAAAAATGTGGCTTTCCAAAAACATGGTTCTTGACAGCTTCTTGAAAAGAAATTTGGCTCTCCAAAAAACATGTGGTTCTTGACAGGTTCTTGAAAAGACATTTGGCTCTCCCAAAAAACATGGTTCTTGACTGGTTCTTGAAAAGAAATGTATCTCACCAAAAACATGGTTCTTGACAGGTTCTTGAAAAGAAATTTGGCTCTCCAAAAATAGTTCTTGACAGGTTCTTGAAAAGAAATTTGGCTCTCCCAAAAAAACATGGTTCTTGATAGGTTCTTGAAAAGACATTTGGCTCTCAAAAAAAAACATGGCTTTTGACAGGTTCTTAAAAAAAGTTTGCATCTCTAAAAAACATGGTTTTTGAAAAGAAATTTGGCTCTCCAAAAAACATGGTTCTTGACAGGTTCTTGCAAATAAATTGGGCTCTCCAAAAAACACGGTTCTTGACAGGTTCCTGCAAAAACATTTGGCTCTCTAAAAAACATGGTTCTTGGCAGGTTCTTGAAAAGAAATTTGGCTCTCCAAAAAATCAGGGTTCTTGACAGGTTCTTGCAAAAAAAAAATGTGGCTTTCCAAAAACATGGTTCTTGACAGCTTCTTGAAAAGAAATTTGGCTCTCCAAAAAACATGTGGTTCTTGACAGGTTCTTGAAAAGACATTTGGCTCTCCCAAAAAACATGGTTCTTGACTGGTTCTTGAAAAGAAATGTATCTCACCAAAAACATGGTTCTTGACAGGTTCTTGAAAAGAAATTTGGCTCTCCAAAAATAGTTCTTGACAGGTTCTTGAAAAGAAATTTGGCTCTCCCAAAAAACATGGTTCTTGATAGGTTCTTGACAAGACATTTGGCTCTCCAAAAAAAAAAAAACATGGCTTTTGACAGGTTCTTAAAAAAAGTTTGCCTCTCTAAAAAACATGGTTCTTGAAAAGAAATTTGGCTCTCCAAAAAACATGGTTCTTGACAGGTTCTTGCAAATAAATTTGGCTCTCCAAAAAACACGGTTCTCGACAGGTTCCTGCAAAAACATTTGGCTCTCTAAAAAACATGGTTCTTGGCAGGTTCTTGAAAAGAAATTTGGCTCTCCAAAAAATCAGGGTTCTTGACAGGTTCTTGCAAAAAAAATGTGGCTTTCCAAAAACATGGTTCTTGACAGCTTCTTGAAAAGAAATTTGGGTCTCCAAAAAACATGTGGTTCTTGACAGGTTCTTGAAAAGACATTTGGCTCTCCCAAAAAACATGGTTCATGACTGGTTCTTGAAAAGAAATGTATCTCACCAAAAGCATGGTTCTTGACAGGTTCTTGAAAAGAAATGTGGCTCTCCAAAAATAGTTCTTGACAGGTTCTTGAAAAGAAATTTAGCTCTCCCAAAAAAACATTTTTCTTGATAGGTTCTTGAAAAGACATTTAGCTCTCAAAAAAAAAAAATAATAATAATAATCGTCCAGCTGATGATTATTGGCTCTTTCGAGTAAAGAGTTTGCCGACCACTGGTCTTAGCCGTCACCCGGCAGTGGATCTGTTAACCTATCTGCTCGTTTATCAGTCATCCCATTCTTTCACACATCCATTCATCAGTCAGTGTCACTATATCTGTCTCTGCCTGAGTGCACGGATGCATGTATTCAAATGTGTATTAAATATTATATTAGATACTAATCTAAGGAGATTGGAATAAACAAAGTTTTTTTTTCGTCATAACAAAACACGTCCTCACCTCATTGGTTTAAACCGTGCTTGCGCACCGTCTGCAAAGGTGAACTGAAACTTGAGCTGACTTCCTTCTGATACTATTTCTGAGTAAACAGAGAAGATATTTGCTTGGCATGTGTAATATAGTGGTGTCTCGGTATATGTACTTGATCCGTTCCAGATCCGTGGACGTATTTTAAATAGGACGCATACCAAACAAGACATATACAAGACAGGACGTATACCAAACAGGATGCATACCGACCAAATGTTACCATAAGAAATAAATGGAGAATTATTATTCCGCTCCTATGATTTAAAATAAATCCTATTGTTATTATTATATCATGCATGGATGGAACATTAGAAATCAGCTTAGATACTGCATAATACAATAAAACGCATAAATACAAAAGCAGTTAGAAGAATGAAAATGTACGCTCACTTTTCCTTCCTGACAGAGTCGAATGCCTACGAGGATGATGCTGAGAAAGGCAGAGACCGGCGTTATTGTTTGGATGGAGAGTCCCCTTGAAATAAAACTTTAGGAATCTTAAATTCTTGTTGTTTCCTAATTTTATTTCCGGTCTCTTTTTCGGGTTTGACTTTTACTTAAAAAATATGTCTAAAAGATTTGTCTTCTGCTTGCTCCTCATGATGTTTCCAGAAATGTGACATTGTCTGGTCATTCCAGACAATGCTGTTGCAGCTTGTCAGTTGCTTAGGGTTTATTGGGGTGTGACTTCTCTGCAAAGTCATTGGTTTGTCTCGAGAGAGAGAGGTGTTCTGATTAATTATAATTCACACAATTTATATTTTAAAAAATAGCATACGAGTCCGTATTTGAAACAGAGGTCGTATACCAAACCAAAGTTTAGGCGTCTAAATAGAACGTATACCAAGTTGAACGTATACCAGATCAAACCTATACCGAGGTGCCACTGTTTTTAGTAACCAGCCGTGCCACTAGAAAAAAAGGGAGAGGGGTAGGGGATTTATCTTCTGCTGTTAAGAGTTGTGGGAAGGAATAGTTTGCGATTCACTGCTTCATGGCCAGCAATGGCTATTATCATTATGTGTTGAAGTAGAAGCTCTGTAATGTCATCAGTCCATGTTCTCCTAAGGGGACTTCTTACGTTATATATCTTTTCATGTGTACCGCCTGCGTGGGTAGTTGTTTTAGCTGCATTCTTACTAAATGACCAAACCATCTGATCTTCTGTTTCTCAAATAGTTTGCATCATGGTGTTGTTTCTACAGTCGATAATATCATTTCTAACTTTGTCTCAGATGTTTAAGTTGATGGCTTTTCTCGTGCATCTCATTTCACAGGTGTTAATTTTACATAAGTTAACCTTTGAAAATGTCCAAGTCTGGCACTGGTAGCAGAGTATTAGTATGAATATGCTGTTTATAATCTGTTTCTTGGCGCTCATACTTATGTTTGGATGTCTTAATAACAGTGTCAGTTGGTATATAAGTGCACTGGCTTGTTGGCATCTTGTTGCTCTTTCTATCTCTATTCTTCCGTCCTACGAGAATATAATTCCTAGATATTTAAATTCCTCAACTTGCTTCAGCCAAGTACCAATCAACCCGACATGTAGCGGACTCGGAATTCTGCTGACCTAAAAAAAGGAACGAATCCAAAGTCTTCATTTGTTCGCTTAAAGAAAAAAAAAGTAACTGTGTGTGTGTGTGTGATTACGTTGTGCCTATTTGCTACATTATTGTGACATATGCGCCTTTCTTCAGCTCAGTTCTAGTAGTATTTAGGGACTTCAATCAAACGTGTATATTACTAACATGTCTGTAATGAAACCTTGATAGTAATTTTCTAAGTTTTTTTTTTCTTTTAATAATAAGTTAGTTGTGTAGCCTTTACAGGACGTTGCAGAACCAACACCAGCATGTTTAGATTGTTTGTGATTTCACTAAGTAATTTTACGTTCAGTATTTAATCATTGCTTCCTCCACGGTCGACCAATGCCATTGTTGAACCAACGTAGGGCCGTCTGCTGCCAAGTCGCTCTCAGCTGAAATCGAACCTTACACTTCAGAAATACGAAGTGCGTTCACAACGCCTAATCCACAGACGCCGACTCTTTATTACGTGGCTATTGTCAAACAATCTCTGCACTGCCGGTGCCAGGCTCGGATGAGAAAGGAGGAGGGTTGCCCACACTGTAAAGGAGTTTTTGCTACAGAAGCTTGCAGGGAAGGATGCCATTTCGATTAACACAGGATAGAATAGAATGAACGAATAGACTACGGACCCTGTGTGACATAATGACAAGATGGTGGTATCATCGCACAAGGATATAAATTATAGTATTTTAAACCTGTTGACACAATGGGTTGCGTGGACAGGTCCTGGAGAAGGTAGTCCAATGCCTCATCATCCGGATCGTACATGTAGAACTGGTTGATTCCTCTAAAATATCTTTCAGATGAACTATTTCTGAAAAACAAAAACAAAAAAATGGGAACGAATCCAAAGTCTTCATTCGTTTGCTTAAAGAAAATAAAAAATAAAGATGCAATTGTGTTTGTGCGTGCGTACGTGCGTATGTGTGTGTGTACGTGCATGCGTGTGTGTGCGTGTGTGTTGGATTACGCTGTGCCTATTTACTATATCATTGCGACATTTGAGCCTTTCAGCTGACTTATCGACGTTTTTCAGGCATTAGTTGGCGTGGGTAGCCTTCCCGGCCATGCTAACGACTTATAACTTAAAAATGTAATTCTCTTAGGATGTAAAATTCTTAATGAATGTATAAACAAATAATTAAATCCCGAACTTCTATACACGGATTGGTCGAGCAGACTAACACATCTGCTGAGCTGCCCTCACGCTGAAGCTTTGTGAATTTATGGGAGGTGAGGGGGGAGCGGAAGGGCTGGACTTAATCACGGTTCCGCACCTCTGTGTAGAAGTAATGTTGTATTATATATAATATATATATATCTATATAGATATATATATAATATAATAAGTAGTAAATATAGTAAGAGATGAGAGACCGAGATCGAGAGAGAGAGAGGGGGGGGAAGAAGAAAATAAAAAACAAGTG